ATATTGAGAGGGGTACTAAAATTGTCATGTATCTTAAACAAGATTGTCGTGAATATGCTTCAGAAGACACTGTTCGTAGTGTCATTAATAAATACAGCAATTTTGTAAATTCTCCGATTAAATTAAATGGTTCCGAAATTAATACCATTCAAGTAAGTGTAACAATTAATATTTAACAGTGTTTATTTATTTATTTACATAACTTTTAAACTGTTTTAGCCATTGTGGTTACTTAACCCGAAATCTGTTTCCAAAGAACAACATGATGAATTCTACAAATTTGTAGCAAACACTTATGATAGACCTAGATTTGTTTTGCATTACTCTGCTGAAGCTCCTATTCAAGTGCGTGCTTTGCTATACTTCCCAGAACTAGCACCAGGTATTAAATTATTTACAAAATTAAAAGTAAAATTTAGGAGGTCATAAATTATGTTTATTACAGGTCAGACTGATTTTTATGATAGTTCAACTAAAGGTGTATCACTTTATACTAGACGCATTTTGGTTAAAAAAGAAGCTGAAAATGTATTACCCAAATGGCTTCGTTTCGTAAAAGGTAATTTCAAAGATTAGCTGTTGACGATTATATCATATTATTTAGAGTATTTATTTTTTAATACTTACATTTTTATATATAACAAAATCTAATTGTGAATATTAAAATGTATAGGTGTTATTGATTCCGAAGATATACCATTAAATTTGAGTAGAGAAATGTTACAAAACTCTTCATTATTAAGGTATAAATTGTTGACAAAATCTTAAATCAGAATTCAATTATTTTATTATATTTCCAGGAGGTTGAATCAATTATTGACTAGTAAAATTGTTAAATTTTTGCATGATAAATCTTTAAAAGATCTTGATGAATACATGAAATTTTATCAGGACTACAGTGTGTTTATCAAAGAAGGAGTTGTAACAAATGATGACCCCAAAGAACGTGTTAGTACTCTATTATTTCTACTTTTTTGTAGCTAATTATAGTAATTMTATACCACATACTTATTTTGTTATATATTTTTCTTTTGAATAAAAGAAGACTTTACAATAATTATAAATAGTCATAAGAAGCTTTTTATTTTATATGTTATAATTTTACAGGAAGAGCTTGCAGGGCTTTTAAGATATGAATCATCGTACACTAAACCTGGTGAAACTACGTCATTTGAAGATTATATTAAGAGAAAACAAGAAGGTCAAAATGATATTTACTATTTATCTGCTCCTAAGTAATATAAATACATTATTAATACTTAATTATTATTATWTTTAAATTTTATTTTTTAAATCATTTATTATAGCCGTGCTTTAGCAGAAAGTTCTCCATACATTGAAGCATTAAAGAAGAAAAATGTTGAAGTTATTTATTGTTATGAACAACACGATGAAATTATTTTATATCAAGTCAAAACATTCAAAAATGTCAAACTCACTTTAGTAGAAAAAGAAATCAATACTGCTAATAATCAAAGTTCTCAAACAGTTGAATTAGGTTAGTTATTTGTGTAAAATTAAAATAATTGATTMATTTTAATTTCTTTAAATAACTGTATAATAGGTAATGATAGTTTGAGTCAGTTACAATTAGATTCGTTATTACCTTGGATTGAATCCACATTGGGTAATAAAGTGAAAAAAGTAAAAATTACTGGACAATTAGAAAGCCACCCATGTGTTATCACTGTGGATGATATGACAGCTGCTAGACATTTTATTAAAACTCAACTGAAACAAATGGACGAGGAGATGTTATTTTCAGTCCTTCAGCCTCAACTTGAACTCAACCCTAAGTAATTTATCTCAACTAATATTTATAATTGTATCTAACAACTATCTGTTTTTAGACATGCAGTCATAAAGAAATTACATACACTTAAAGATTCAAATCCAGAATTGGCTAAATTAATTGTTGAACAGGTAAAATATAGGCTTTAAAATGTATTTAAAACTAAAATGACCATTGCAATTTTTTCTATAAACTAAAAAAAAATTAAATACATTATTAACTGTGATAAATTAAATAATTTAGATTATCTATATAGTTTTGGAGTTTATATATGAATGATATTATATCATGAATAGCTTAAAATATTCTGATTTGGATAAAATTTACATAAATATGTCACACTTTTGAAATATATAACTCAGTATTTTATTTCCAGATTGCATAGTAAATTGATTGATTTAAATAATACGGAAAGATAAATAAATATATTAATAAAATTTATAAACTAAATCATGTTTAATGGACTGATAAGCAATAGCTTACTATTGTTCCACTAAATGGCTGGTGATTTTTTCATGTAACCCAACCCAGTCATATACTCATAATAAATTGATAATAATTTAATGAAATTATATTCCTTTTTGAATTTCTAATATATTTTTATCGTCATATAAAATTTTTAACCATTTTATTTCCATCTAAAAATCTTATTTATAACAATAATTATACATTTCATTATTTAAAATAAATTGATTTTCTTGTAACACAATACATTCTTGTGCTAATAAATGTTTTTTCTATTTAATGTTGACTTAATAATTTGGTTATTATTATTATAATTGTGGTTGTGTTAATATAATCGTTCATATAATATTATATCAAAAGAAATAATGTTTTCAATATTATAATGTTTGAATAAACAAAATGTATCTAGAAACTATGAAAGTATTTTTCAAGATTGCAGGGTATTCAAGACTTTCTAGGAATGGTTTATTTATATCAAATATTTAAATATATCTTAATGCCTGGTAAATATTATATATTATATTTTAATCTTATGTGCATTGTTTGTTTATCCAGCTGTACAGTAATTCAATGGTGACAGCGGGCCTTATCAATGATTCCAGAAAATTGGTGTCCAACATGAATCGTGTTCTAGAATTAGTTGTTGAAAAATATTAAATAGTTGGTTTTTTAGTTCTAACACTTAAATTTTGTAAATATTATAAATTTATAATAAATAAATAATATATTGTTTTTTTTTTTTTAAATAATTATTAAAATTTTTTCACAACGGTAATAACAAGGTACTTATAATTAAACACCGAGACTTACATTTTTAATAATCAACTACATTTAAATACACTGAATAACTACATTACTAAAGTTARGGACTCTTGCCYAATTTAATGAACAATGTTTGGTATTAATTTAAAGATTATRTTTTTTTCAAATGTAAACTTTAGCTTTCTAGAATAATATGTTAAACAGAAAAAAAATACTACATATTGAACTACTTTAYAAAATTTATATTGGATTGAGAAATCTAAAATTCTGTAGTTAATAAAATTAATTATTTAATAAATTATCAGTATATTGCAACAGATAAGYGTATAAAAATAACAAAATTATGAATATTATTTATATGATTCTTATAGATGTTGTATGACACAATCTTTATTATTCAGAAAAAATACTAWAACTATTCTGATTATTTAGTGAGGTTTACTCCTCTCTGGTCATATTGCATTCAGATCTGAAGTCAAGCCAAACCTTCTAATATGAGACCATATGACTTAGAAAAATCACTGGAGTCCCATGATATGTGGCTAACAATCCTTGTACAATAACTATTAATAATACTAAATTATACTCTAGATTTGTTGAAGCTGATTATTTAGACCAACTAGAACTTTTTTTTGGAAAAGTAAGAGGCATCTGACTGCTAGACAGTTTTGGCTAGCTTATAAAAAATTGGTCATTAGACAAAATAATATTGAATATTTTAATACTGGTAATTGTATTCCACTAAACCACATAGACATTTTGCGCTATTTGAATTCTGATCCAATTAAAGTTATTAACAAAAGTTCAAATAATAATTATGATGAAGATGGTTCTGAAGGAAATTCAATTATTCATAATAATTTTATATCAGACCATGTTTATAATATTACTTGCCAAAATAATTATATTCATAGTGATTTTTCAAACAAAGTAGTAATARCTAGATTTGTTGTCACAAATTAACTTCTGTTCTTAGATGTGAAACATTTTTAACAACTTTATGTGCTATAAACAATGAATATTTCTTAAATTTATTGATCACATTAAAACAAAAAGGTAATAATAAAGRTGAATTGAATTTCCCTAATGACAATGTTATTGTAAGATGTTTCCATACTGAAAAATATTAAAATATTATGATTACCGAAATAAAACTTAATAAACTATATATATATATATGTTGAGTGTTAAGATAAAATAAATCATATAATCTAACTATATTTAAAGTAATAGGTATAAGTAAGTTTTGAACTCAAAACTATAAGTAATCTAGTATAACAATTTTCTACTTTGTAATCTATGTAATTTAATTTTTTATAACTATTCAATTATACATAATGGATAATATAAATTTTAATTAGAATAATGTGTTTTTAATTGTATTATATTCTTTTGGCGACATTTTATGTAAGTATGTTTAATAAGTTCCTAGTATACCTAATTCTAATTTTATTTTATTTGTGCCTAATATTATTATATTATTATGTAGTAAATACAWACCCATTTTAAGAAACAATTAGTTTAACTGTTAACAGTACGTCCATAGTTCCATACATTTTAATAATGTTTTTAAATAATTAATTATMTCAGTAAATTTTAGAGTTAATTTATCAAACCAACTATCATATTATTTCATTATTTTATTCGATATTTAATAATTATGTAAATCTAAGTTGCTATTAATTATTGGTATTTTTATTATAATATGAATTTTGGAGTGCGCAGATCAATGGTTAAATAAGCAAGTTGGCGTAGCATGTTTGAAAATTTCGCGGGAAGGGTCAAGGGTAGAAGGACCGAGGCAATATTATAATATTGCGGGCCGACTCCCGCCCGCCATAGTCCATAATATCGTTTCCAGTCTGTCCTTAAATCGTGATTAGCATCGTTGAATAACTCGTTTACAACTTCAAAGCCGARCCCGCTGAAATAGWGTTGTTATCAGGAAAGGACTGAATTATATTATGTTTCTATTTTATTTACAGATTACCCATATAAAATCAGATCAGATGGTGCTACGATTACCGGATTACCCCTGTTGTGCAACTTTACTGTGTAAGTTAAAAGTTTCAATTCACGCGTGTTCCAAGTCAAACCTTATAGTCTCTTAGTAGTAAATTGAGATAGGCATGTATTTATTCTACAGTAATTGTCAGTCTCGAGTATTATTTATGGAATAAAACAACATACAAATTTACGATTTTATTGGACGTCTTTGCTCGGATTACAATACCTATTTAATAACGATTTGGGTCGGCCGATTACAAAAGTACTACACAGGTAAAGACGTTGTGATCATTTAAAAATGTTTTCGTTCTCCATCGATTACGGGCCTGTTTGTGGAATGGGTTATTAGGAGGTCCCCAAATTTTCATCGTTCTGCACATAGTTACAAAATCGCAAAAATGATCCTCAACGAATTCTGTATTAGATTTTTAAAAACTCGGGTAGGTAACACCAATAATAGTATAGGAGTACATCACTTATTGTTATAATTATTTTATTTTATATAGGCTTTTTTTACCTATCATGTGCTAACATGTGCCTACTTAATCATAAATTATCAATGAGTTAGATAGGTATCTTGATTTAAAGACCATTTTGTATATATCTATATRCTAACTGTTTGTTACCCATTTTGTTTTGAAGGAATTTAAGAACAATAGTTATTTAATTTGCAGTCAATTAATACAATTATTATTTTTTAATGTTTTGACAGAAAGCCAGTGAGCTAATATATTCAATTTGCTATGGCTAACAGTGATCAGATGCCCAAAGTTGATTTCATGAAAGACGGTGAAATCGATAAAAGATTATTACAACAGATAAAATTTGTTGAACGCCAAAATCTAGTCCGTGCCAATAGGTTGAACCGTATGCGCAGAAACGCTCGTTACACAGGCTTATTACTTGGTGGTATTACATTGAGTATATACGGATATTCTATTTATTCAATAAAACAGGAGACATTCTTGGACGATTTTGAAGAACCTGCAGTCACTGTTAAACAATAATAAATATTACATACTCATTATGTCTGCAAGTCGGATTATCCGGCTGCCACCCCTGCCTAGCATCAGGGATTTAATTAAACTATATAAACTACGTGCTATGAAAGAACTTTCTCAAAATTTTTTAATGGAACCAAGATTAATTAGCCGCATTGTCAGATCAGCAGGATCTGTTAARGACTGTGAAGTATGTGAAGTTGGCCCTGGTCCTGGAAACATAACAAGATCAATAATTCAAAACATGCCATCTAGGGTACTAATAATTGAAAAAGATAAACGATTTACACCGTCCCTAGAGGTTGGTATTTCATCTATACTCTACTCTATAATTTATCTTRCTGAGCATTTGTTARAATAACATAACAGTAATTTACTTCATATCGTAATTTTTTCAGTTGTTAGCTGAATCATCACCAGTACCATTGGAATTAATATTTGGGGATGTAATGAATTTTAATTTAGAACAAATGTTCAACGAAAACAATAAAATGGAATGGGATGATAAATGTCCACAAATTCATCTAATTGGAAATTTGCCATTTAATGTGTCTACTCCACTTATTATACGATGGTTAAAAGCTATATCAGAAAGGTAGTATATTTTATGTTCTATTTATAATTTTTACTTACTTATTTATATTTACAGGAAAAGTGCATGGAGATATGGCCGTGTCCGCATGACATTGACATTTCAAAAAGAAGTTKCTGAAAGAATGGCAGCCCCAATAATGACTAGAGAAAGAAGTAGGCTCTCAGTAATGTGTCAAAATTGGTGTAGGGTTGAACATAAATTTAATATYCCAGGTAAAATTATTRTAGTATTGTTCTATTCAACATAATATCCTAATTATTTCTTATAACTAATGTTTTTTGAAAATATTTCTTTTACATTTAATTTTATATTACAAAGCAGTATAATATTTTAAATCATAAACTTTTTGTACTAAATACATTTTTTTTTTTTTTAATTGAAGTACTTTAAATTATTGCTATTTTGGAATTAGGAATTATAATTATTTTTCTTAAAAATATATTGTATTTAATCAACTTAAAATTATTTAAAACATATATTGCCAAAATGCTTATGTTTTGAAGTTCAATTGAAAACTTAGGTATTCTTTATATTGATGATTTTTTTAAAATTAATTTGATGAATTTGCTGCTGAATTTTTGATTGTCAATTCCCTCATAATTTTCTATCAACATAAATGGATTACTAACATTTTAGGTGAAATTAGTGTAATGTTGAACAAAGTTTGATTTTAAATTTGTAATGCATATAAGCTAGAAATATATTTATATATAAGTAGKTAGTGTTGATGATAACAATAATTCAAGCATTTAAAGAACAAATAAATTCAATTGACAATAGCTCTCATTTAATTAAAAAATTACAATGCATATATGATTACATTTATTACACTTTAAACTCTTTAAAGTTATGGTTATTTGATTATTCTCTTTATMTCTCATATTTAATCTTTATATAATATAATCCTTATTCAAAATCTTCATTTTCTGAATTACAATTTATACCATTATTGGGAATTGTGGTAAGAAACTTGTGTTAATGTTCAACAAACTGTTACATTGAGAATTGGTTAATCTTATATTAGAAAGTTTGCCAACAAAATAACTTTTTGTTCAGTATCAATATTATTAGTGAACAACAGGCTTTGAAAAATATTCTTCTCTAGATTATAAATTTCCTAAATAGTTAACTATAGTAACAAATATCATTATAGCTTAATTATGTTTTTAAGAAAAATTGTTGAAATTTTGTTTTAATCTTAATTAAAGGTCGAGCATTTATTCCAAAACCAAATGTTGATGTGGGCGTTGTACGTCTTACACCTCTAAAAAAGCCAATTATTGATTTRCCATTCGACATAATTGAAAAAGTTATCAGGTCTGTGTTTAGCTTCAGACAAAAACATTGTATTCGAGGTGTTGAGTGAGTAATTTACATTCAAATAATTAGAATGAATATAAAATTATTGTTTGGCTTATATTATAAAGGACGCTATTTCCAAAACCAGTCAGAGAACAACTCGCCAGTGAACTATTAACTGCTGCAGCAATAGAACCAAGCACAAGACCATTCCAATTAACTGTTAGTGAATTTGGTCGTATCTGCGAGGCATACATGTCTATATGCAAGGAGAAGCCAGACTACATGAAATACAATTACCGAGGACAAAAATCGGAAGATAATTGGCCTTTTGTTGAAATTAATAATTYAGATAGCAGTGAAAACATAATATCGATAAATGAATGTTAATAACATTGTGATTATTTCATGGCATACTGTAGTTTATGTAGTTAGTAATAGTGTTTAAATATTTGTATTTCATAAAATATATTTCAATTTAATTAACAGAGAATATAAATTGTTTTTATTTAAAAATACAGAGAGAATTTGTGGGATTACAATTATTAATTATTTATAACGAGATTAAACTACATTTAGTACTTTAGTAGACAGTTGTAGTAATACTAATACTAGCTGCCATCGGAAACGCCGTGAGTGGTTGCCGGTTGGTGTTGGCTGGAAACGATAATGTCGTCATTTATTTTTAACAAATAAATGTAATATTGTTGGTTTTTCGAAGTGATAAGGAGTTTTGATAAGGCTCGGTGTTGGTGACATAGATAATAAAGATTCTTTATTATCTATGGTTGGTGATCGTTTCGAAGGCGGGAAMGTTTGAATACTTTGAATTTCGAGTTTGGGTGTCTAGATAGTAGATATCTCACATTGCCCACGGAAGTCGGCAATAGAATAATACGGCCCCACGTCTCATGTCCGGTGCTTTTTCGTGTGCAAAAATAAAGGTAATTTTGAAGCGTCTAGCAAGTCAGTTAACACAGATGAACATCGATTAATTTTCAAGTAAGCCACTCAAGWTGGACAAYGTGCTACATCAATTCAAGTATGCAGACACGACGATAAGTGGAATTAAWATTTAGTGAATAGGTACTTTGGTATAAATGTTATAGCCATTACATCAACAGTAATATGGATCGTGGACGGTCACTCGGTTGTCAGTGCAAGGCGGATTGCATAGACATTCAAAAATCAAAAAGAATGGTATATTCTGATCGAACAGTGTTCAGTGTTTAATGATTTTCTATACATATAATATATTATATTGTTATTAAAGGCGCGTTTTACGACACGGTTTCTTTCTTTCGTATCCGCTATTGATCTTTGCCATACACTCATACGCACCCTTCGTTTAATCGCGGGGTTATCGATACGCTCGTTATCGTATGTAACCAATTTAAAGGAGTGATGGAAAATATTATTTTGGCAACAGGGTATGTGACGATCAGGAGACGGTAAGACTAATTTCATTTAACAATCGAGCGGTAATCGAGTAAGTAGCCCTTTGGCCTTTGTTGATATTAAATATTTGGTTAAGGTACTTTAATATTACCTTTGTCTCGCGTTTTTATTTTTATTTATTTTAAATACTTAAAAATAATTTTAATATTCAATATGATAATATTCTATCGCGGAAAATATTCGATAACCATTTAGTAGAATATCGTTAAGTTGAAAGGCCTTTCTCGGCACACGTGCGTTTGAATCAATGTGAATTCTTGTATTCCTTTGAGTTAACTGTTAACTCAAACACGTAACACTCGTAACACTGCTGTAGAGTAATTTATGAGAAAATTATTATTTTTTTTAGTCTTTGCATTATGCACTGTGCAGTGGTCAATGCAGGCCACCAGGCCACGTGTTCAGTTTTTTGTTTTTATTTTTAATAATTTATAATGATTTATAATTTTATAAAATTTGGAAAAGTTAAAATGTTCGTGCGGTAATCAAAATTTTAAATCATTTTCGTAAAATATCGTAAAGCATAAATGCTTGTCTTCGGTACCTACGTGTAGAACGTATCCCTTTACGTAACATGTACTCGTATGTAGAATTATTTYTGCAGAAATGTAAATTTTTACTGAAATCGCTAATRTATACTCTTTATGTGGTTACAATMACAATAAAACACGTGTTCCGGGTTGTTTTGATTTTGTAAATTCATAATGAATAGTGTTTTTTAAATTATTGTAGTCAACCAAAATCAATAATTAAAAACCACTTCGTATAGTCAAAAGGTTAGGTTTATATCGTTAAAACACTTAAAACTAAGGTTCACTATAATTTTACTTTGAATTTAATCAAAAAAATAACGATTCTTGGGGGCCATAAAATTGTGGCTCATGGGCAAGAATTTTATAGTAACATCGCTGCGCTGACATCCTCCCTCTTAACTCAAAACACGTAACGTGTATCTACATAAAATAGTTTCTATGGAAAAATCATTTTTTTGCGGAAGTCATTGCATATTATGTAATGTATGTAGTTTGTCGTTGTAACAGGTCACGTGTTCAGTTTATTTTTCGTTAATTCATAATGATGAGTAATTTTTATAAAATTTGTGTAGATGTGTAGATGAAAACGTTACTGTGATAACCAAATTCAGTGTGTAGAAAGCGATTTGTTGAAATGCTGTATAGGTTTGTTAAGTGTTGTAATGCAATTCTACACGCCACAGCAGTAGAATAATTAACTGCGAAAATTACTCATTTMAATTATTTTTTCTGTTTTAGAAAAAAGGTAGAACAAATTTTTATATTTTATGGGAAGGGCGTACGCCGTAAAGAACAGGCGTACAACGCACCTGTATACTCTTCCCAATCTAGCTGCCGCGCCGCCAAGGAGGGAACCGCCTTGAAAAAAAGCTTAGTGAGTAGACTCGTACCAAATTCAAATTTTGATCAGGTATGATATTAATGAAATTGTACATTGTTTATTTATGTTTCAGGGTGCTTTAAATGTAAAAAAAGAGGTCATATGGAGCGTAATTGCTTTGGTATGTGTGATATTCTACCATGATTCTGTTATTTAAATAAGGAAATAAAATAATAGTTGACACTATAATTAGAAGATATTTTAGTTTTTTTTTTATACATACAAAATATAAATTCAAATTCTTCTTTTCTGAGAGGGCAGTTTGTTTCAACTTTAGAACATAATATATAATAGACAGAGCTACCTTATCATTTGGTGTATCTAAAATAATCACTCATTAATAAGCTGTTTTAGTGATTGTTAGCTCAACGTTGGGTWCTTGGGTAATAATGTATTGTTCCCCGAAATGAAATTGGTGGTGGGGATTGTGTTGGGCACAACTTTGTGTATGGGAAATACACATAGCTCTATATCCATTGTGTATTATGACCGAAAGTTTCTTATATTTCCGAATTCCCATTGTTAAATGGTATTTGTAAGACCATTACACAATATAATGTGTTCAATGTTTTGTAAATTTAATTTTTACACAGACTTTTTCGGATAGTTTAACCACTTTTTTTTTTTATTTAGATATTTTAATCAACAAAATTAAATGTTCATAATTAGTGTAATATAATTATTATTATTAACTGTTAGATGTCACACTTTTATGTGTCACTTTTGTCTTACACATGTATGTCATAAGAAATTTCCATTCGCCACTTTTATTACAATACTGTTAGTTTTGCTTTTAGACTTTAAGAGTAAATTAACTGTTCATTTTAAAATAAAAAATAATATTAGTAATTGCTTTTGTAGGGCCATAGATAATAATCTTTCCTTAAAATTGTATAATAGGTCAATTTAATCTTCAAAATTAACAGCACACTATTGAATTAATAAACAACAATTTGCTGCCTTGTGTGTTAAGAGTTTAAGACGCAACAACAAGAATTMAATAATGCATTTTTAAACCTTAATTTGATCAGAAAACAAGTATTATTCACTAGGTATATATAAATTTTTTTCAGCTTTTATTAACATAGTTCAATGATTACAATTATTTATAAAACTTAAATCAATTTTATGAAAAGAATTGAAAAATGCTCTAGCATTAAGTGTTAGTGTACAGTCAGTTAGAAGTATGTTATAGAATATATGATAGACTGATATGATATATATAAGTCAGTTACCGAGCATTTTAAATTCTAATGGCTAGGCAAATAATGTTTTMGAAATTTTTAAAATGTATGGTATAATTWAATATTACAAAATAATTATATATTAATTAATTTAATCTTCAAAATTGTTGAGATTTGAAATAAGATGTGATACATAAGTAGCCWGTACCATGATTATGGTAATTAAGTTGAAAAATAAAATATAMATTATATAAGTAATAAGAAGATTTTTTTTAAAACTAAAGACACTCGTGCTAACAATATATTTTTGAGATCTACAATAATAATTTTTTCTTAGATTTTTCATCATTATTTTTTGCTTTTTTAATGTGAAATAGAAAAGGTTTTTGTGTAAATATTGAACTTTGAACCAATAGTTTATTGTTAGAAATATTTAACAATTTAACATTTTTAAAAGATGAAGAGACACCCTAAAAATAATTATTCAACCACTGTATTTTGGCCACTCACAAGAGAAGTAAACCATACCTCAAACAAAAAATGTTGGAAGTATGTGCATCCTCATTTAACATTATCCAATGTTGTGACAWTCTGTTCACAGATAACCTTTAATGTAATGATATAAATACACACATTTTATTTTGCGCGATTAATCGCCTAGTGTGTAAGCCACTTTATAGTCAAAATCAGCATTTTATATAGTATACCTAAATTGCACTGAATGTTTGACTATCATTTTCTGCATACGTTATGCGTACATAGTAAAATAATGGTATTTAGAGCTATGTAGAGCAATTTAGTCTTTTAAACTTCTACTGCTAATAAAATAAGAAACAATGGTTCAAATTATAAAATGTATACATTAGTATTTGTATTTTTTAGAGTAAGAAATAAAAAAATTAATTAGGTTAGTTAGTTTGTCTTTAAWTAATTGTGAAACAATGAGTGTCCTATATTAAAAATCACCTTCTGAACATATTATATATTAAAATCAATGTGTAACAAAAATGGCAATATTAAATTTAATTTATGAATAGTATGTGCAAAATCAAATTTACTAGATGGCAGATTAAAAAGACTAACTTTAAATCTAAAGACATCAGACCTGAACACATGAATTATACCTTAGAGTTAATATTTTATATAGGTACCTAAAAGCTAATGAATACTATGAGTAAAAAGTTTGACTACAAATGTGTTGATAATAAATAAAAATAAATTAACGATCAAATAAATAAATTAACAACTTAATCACTCTCATCATCTGGTCCATCTTTATTTTTAATGTTTGTAAAATGATTCATTAATTCTTCTTGAAGTTGAAGAACATGTTCAATAGGTTTTGGTCGCCCATCATCACCAATTTTACACGGTTGTATCACTCCTTCCCTAAATTAAATAGTTTTTAATAATACAAATCTTTTAAGTTAATAATATATAATTTTTAAATACCTAGTGAGTTTATCCATTTTAGAAACTAACTGCATAACTTCATGTTCTTGTTGTTCAACAGACATGCACTCAAATGGATTAGGTTTTGGTGGTTCGTAACAGCCAAGAACTGGATTTATCCTAAAGAACATAATGTACATATTATTGGTACACATACTAGTTAAAATAGAAACTCAACTGGTCTTTATATGTTAGGTATTCTTCTGTATCACTATCTTCACTATCTGACGAGTAATCTGGATTTGATGTTTTACAAAGTAATCCTCGATTTGCAAATAAACCAGCTGCATTACCAAATCCTGTATACTTGATCATACGACCCACTAAAAATAATTAAAATTACATTAATAAAAGTATAATAAAAATAATATAATGAGTTTCGTACCATTTTCTTTACATAAGACAAACAACAGTTCAGCAACTAAGTCACATAGACTTACATTGGGAGTAGTGAGTAAACGGCATAATTTATTACGCAATGTATTTCCTTGTTCAGGTCGATTAATAACATCTTTTAATGGAGGTAAAATTTGCTGCCGTACTTCACAACGAAATTTAGCAACAGATCTTGATCCTTTTAATAAAACCATCAATACTGGTGATATATTTTCATATGACGGATTCTAAAATCATTGTATCAGATTAAATTAAGGTAMATTATCATCATAGGATATAATAAAGTACCTCTGTACTAGATAATCGGCTGTCAAGAAAATTCACTATCACTTTTAAAGCATCAACATCACACCAATGACTTTTGACCAGCAATTGATCCAAACAAGTTGGAGGTACATTTGTCAACAAGTTTACAACATTGCTAAAGTAATAATAAATAATGTCCAAAATATAAGAACATTTAAAAAAAWATATATATATATATATTTACCAAATAATGTTATCTTGAAATAATGGGACAAAAGTTGAGGTAACAAGTAAATCACGTAATATAGAAATCAACCTAATCCAAATTGAATAATTATCTTCATCAGATGACTCACTGATTGGGTTTACGGTCAAGTTAAATAAAGTTTTTAATATCTCACAGCTGAGTAACACATTTTCTTCCTATAAATATAATTCATGTTATTCAAAGTATTATTTTTTTAGAAGGTAAACAAGTAAGTCACCTGTAAGCAAGACGAATTGTTTTTGGATGCATCTTCAATAGTGTCACGTAATATATTGTCCAAGACTTCTGTTAGGTATGTGAGACCATGTAACTTTTCTGTGATTTTTAATCTAAAATATAAAAGTTAGTAAATACACTAAAAAATAAATATAYGCATTAGAAGTCTACCTTATATTCTTGTTAAATGCTGTTAAGAGAAATAAAAGTTTGATGTCAAAATATTTTATGGCATATGGAATATTCTGTTCAAAATATGTTCTCAGTCTCAGCATAATGCAATCAACAGTTTTATTTGAACAGCATACTTCTTGTGCAGTGTTACAATTATAAACTATATTACACAGACATTTCAGGCCTTCCACAATAACTGAAGGATAGAATCATAACACAATTATTAACTATTAAGTAGGTACCTACTACAACATATTTGGCATCCATTATTTAAATAATAATTTTTAATTTAGTTAGAATTTATTTTTGAATCAATGTATGCTTTTTTAAATTTTAAATTTGTAGAAAACAAATTTTATTTCCGAGTATAAATTATAACTTATTGATAAAATCATAAAAATATTCGATAACTTACCATCTGTATTTTCAGGTGTGATTACTATGCATAATGTGTCTTCAACAAGATTAGCACACTGTAGTAGAATATTTACGTGTTGTTCAATTACAATTTCTTTTAAATGTGTTTTGTCTCGGCTGAAAATCATAAAAAAGAATATGTATTCAAAAATAAATGTTACCATTTAGTTGTATAATCTAGTTATATGTTGTCAAGAGTTTTGCTATTACTTAGTAAACTATTAAATTGTATAGCATGATTTAAGTTTGGTTACCATGCAATTTTTTGTCGGCCAACTTATAGTATTTGARTTATTGAAACTGTGGCACAATGGATAACCCAGGCTATAGACTATCAATAGTTATACTCAAAAAGTCTGTGTGCTATTACCAATTTGGTTTAAACTTCGTAGCATACTCAAGGAAGTTTTACACAAGTTGAGGAATGTTTTGAATTTAAATTTTCCACACCATGTGTTTTTAATAATTTAAAAGAAATTTACTAAGGAGCTAAACTTAAATTTTTTCATAAAATTCAATAGATATACCTGTCATAATCAACATATAATAAAAAATAATTGTACACATTGACTATAGCTATATAATTGAAGGAAAACTTAATAACCAGTAAAATGACAAAAGAATAGTTTTTATTTATATAATATTTATTTAATATATCATATAAGGGTTTGATATTGGACAAGAATGTATTTATAATTTTAAGACAAGTTTACCTCAAGAGCCGAATGCATGTTAAACATTGTTTGTGAATACATTTGTAACTGTCCCCCGCCAAGCACAGGAACATAGATTCCCATAACTGTTTGAAAGTATTGTCAGCATGATAGGTGTCAAAATTGAATGTATTTGAGTGCTGTAATCAAAAAAGTATACATAATTATGCTCTGAACACGATAAGTACTACAATCAAAGAGAGCTAAAACAATGTATGTAACTCACTTGTTCAATGATAGCTTCAACTAAAACTTTTACTCGCTGAAAATTGTTTTGTTCAATAGCTGCATTAATTTCTGATATCATAGTTGTTTATTCAATATATTTTATGTGACAAATATTAAACCAAGTAGGGTGTACCGCAGATTGTCCTAGATTCAAATAATTCTGTTTAAGGAAACAATAATTAAATAATTTATACTTCATGTAATATTTTATGAAAAAATTAAAATGCATAATCAAATAATTATTGAATTAAAATTAAAATTTTACACACCAATTTCCAAATCATTAAAAAATGAAAATAACTACCTAATCGTAATTAAAATATATCAACGTTGATTTTTAGTATTAATGTACACATAAAACAAAAACAAGTATTGTATGATTAACTTATGGATTGGGTATTTAAATAATTTAATTATTTTTTTGCTTAAGTACTAAGTACTAAGTAGGATATTAAATTATTATTTATTGACAATGACTTACTCGATAATCGGATACTCTATGTACAATGTGCATCATTATTATATTGTTATCATCGGCCATCGCTCAATACTGTTATTTATTCCGTGTTGTTATCACTACCGTTATCAATAGTTACCAAATAGGTGATCAAGATGGTGGCGGTGATAAGTACGTGTAACCACTAACCGTGTCACACATATTGTCGAAGTCTAGGAAGACTGCTCGGTGCTCCTGTTCTTTCCTCAATGAGTGTGCATGGTGGTCGATTACTTTCGTCAGTTGACTGGTCGACGGTCGTTGTGGTCTGAAGGCATATAGATCCGTCTAGTTGAAGTAGAACATAAACTTATTTTCTCTACATTGTGATCACTTAATTGATTTTTAAATACACGAACAATTAAGAGTTTAAAACATTACTCGGTACTTCGGGAATAGTGTTTTCATTTAGTAATTATTTAAATGGGAGGGAGTTCCCCTAATGTTAACAATATAATATAAAGTTAAGGATATTAGTAGTTTAACACAATTTTGGTGGCCCTGAAAAGGGCCGTTTTCACTRGTATCAGATTATTAAGAATTAAGCCTTTTTTTCGGTCTTCTTGGGCAACAGAACGGCTTGGATGTTGGGCAACACACCGCCTTGAGCGATGGTAACTCCGGACAACAGTTTGTTCAACTCCTCGTCGTTTCTGATGGCCAATTGCAAATGTCTGGGGATGATACGGGACTTCTTGTTGTCGCGGGCGGCGTTACCGGCCAACTCCAAAACTTCGGCTGCCAAGTACTCCATGACGGCGGCCAGGTATACCGGTGCTCCGGCTCCGACACGTTCCGCGTAGTTTCCTTTTCTCAACAGACGATGGATACGACCGACCGGGAACTGGAGTCCGGCACGGGACGACCTGGTCTTGGATTTTCCTCCTTTTGCTTTTCCTGCTTTACCGCGTCCACTCATGATGACTTTAATATAGAGAAGTGTAGACTAGTAGATAAGATGTGACACTGAATGTTACCATTTGCAATTTTGTTAAAATCGTTGCTTATAAAGCAAAAATCTAGACAACAATCATATGATTGGACAAAAAAAAGATTGTATGACGAGCAAACATAACATATTTTACTCAACATCAATGATAAGGCAATGTTRTTTTTGTTCGGCATTATTGTATAATATACTTGTTGAAAAACTACTATAACTGTATATTATGAGTGAATCAAAAACCCTGTTAAWACTGTCATAGTTATAATATTTTATCCAATACACAAACGAAATATTGCTTGGCTTAAGTAACGTAATTTACCGTACGCAAAACTCTCCACATAATATACAAATACCTTAAAAAATACGTCCAAAACATTACTATTATATTTATATCGGCCCCTCCCATTGGAGACGTATTGAATCCGTCCAAAACATCGGCATACGCACGATAACCGGTATGCCCTCTATCGTTAGAAACTCGGCCCTTTTAAAATCAGCCAACTTCAAATCTATCCAAAATTCCATTTGCTCTCAATCAAAAACAATGTTCTACAATAACTCTTTTTCCGATTACGATCATATCCGCCTCTTAGGTAAAACCCACT